CTCTCTCTCTCTCTCTCTCTCTCTCTCTCTCTCTCTCTCTCTCTCTCTCTCTCTCTTTCTCTCTCCTTCACCCCTTCCTCTGACCCCGTTTCCTCCTTTACCCCTTTATTATCCGCTTCTCATTTTCTTATTTTTTGTCTATATTCTCCTCCCCCTGGCCCTTTCTTTCACTTCTTGTTCGCTTCTCCCTTTCTCCTTCTTTGTCTCTCTTCCCTTCCCTCTGGTCCCTTTTCCTTCTTCTTGTTCGCCTCTCCTCCTCTTTCTGTCTCTCTTAATCTCCCTTTGTTCCCTTCTCTTGTTCTTCGTGTCTTCACTCTTTTTGTCCCACTTCCCTCCCCTTGCTTCTTCTCCCTTTGTCTCTCTTACCCTCTCTTTCCCTCCCTTTCTGTTTCTCTCCCCTCTCATCCCCCCCCCCCCCCCGCTTCTTCTTGTCTTCTTATCTTCCCTTATCTCTTTCCCAACATCTTTCTTCCCTTACCTCTGGTCCCTTTTCCTTCTTCTTGTTCGTCTCTCCTCCTCTTTCTGTCTCTCTTCCTTTCCCTTTGTTCCCTTCCCCGTTCTTCGTGCTCTGACTCTTTTTGTCCCACTTCCCTCTCCTAGCCTTTTCTCCCTTTGTCTCTCTTACCCTCTCTCAAGTCTCTTTCCTTCCCTTTCTGTTTCTCTCCCTTCTCATCCCCCCCCTCCCGCTTCTTCTTGTCTTCTTATCTTCCCTTATCTCTTTCCCAATATCTTTCCCCTCCCGTTCCATCGTCCCTTTCCTCTTGTTCCCTTTGGCCGTCTCGGGATTCGCCAATAAATAATATAAACGTAACATTTCGATGACATTCAGGAAGACCAGTAAAGTTTGAAATGTCTTATACTCGTGCGGGTGTGGGAGAAGGGGAGGTGTGGATGGGAACGGATGAGCAGGGGGTGGGAGTGGGTGAGTGGGTGGGGGGGGGGGAGGGGAGATGTACGTGTGCGTTTTTTTTTTTTTCGTTTTTTTTTTAAGGGGGTGGGTGCTATGGTGTATTGGGAAAGGAAGGGGTATTTGTCTGTGTTGGGTGTGATCGGTGGGGAAATTGTTAACATACGAAAATGTCTTATTATGAAATACTTTTGGTTTCAGTGTTGGTTGATATCATTATGATCATTTTGGGCTTTAGTGATAATGACTGATACTGGTTCATGTGGATTTCCTGCGTAAAAGAACAAAAGGCATGACGGCAAAACTTATCAATTAGAAATATTTATATAATTAGCAAGTTTTTTTTTTCAATGAAGACTGTGCTAATGAGAACTAATAAAGTATCGTATAGTATTAAATTGCTTTTGAGCAGTGATAAAAGCGTACGCATTCAGTGGCGTTTAATTCCGATTTACGTGGAATCTTGTGAACATATCCAAATGGTTTATCTTTATGCAATTAGTGAATATCGGGAAAATGCTTTTTGCATATGTATACATCATGTACACGCACACACACACGTACACACACACACACACACACACACACACACACACACACACACACACACACACACACACACACACAACCACTCACACACAACCACACGCATTAACAGAAATATAGACAGAGAGACATAGATGTAAACAGACAGATAGATACATTCATTGATATATATATACACATATATGTGTGTGTGAAATGTATGTATATATCAGACGACATATTTCTTCCTTTTCTCTTTTAAATTTCACTCGTTACTTCTTAATCCTCTCTTTCTACACCTGTCCAATTACGTAATGGGTTTCTTGTAGGTTTACCTGAGCTCACTGGGCGAGCGGTCATCAGCAGTGGCATCCCGAGTAAGAAATTCGAAAAAGAGCAAGAAATTGTTGATACTATTGTAGGTTTGTGTTCGTCTTATATCTTTCCGATTTCAAAGGGATAACGAACGCAAAGGGAAAGGCGATCGTGGGTGTCGAATAGGCAGGTTGATGTAAATTGATGAGTGATGATGAGGCTATTTAGTGTGGCGTAACTCTTTTTCTTTCTTTCTTTCTTTTTTTCTTTTTCTTCTTCTTTTATTTTCATCGCTTCATTTGCCTGTATTATCTATATCCACTCAATTATTTTTTTTTATCCATACCATACTGTTCTTCGTCGTCAATATCTTTTAATCCCCTCCCACCACCCTCTTCTCATCCTTACTTTTTTCTCCTGTTCTTTTCATCCTTGTTCCCCTCTCGTTCCCTCATTTTCTCTAATGAATATGTTTATATATGTGTGTATATATATGTGTATTTACACACACACACACACACACACACACACACACACACACACACACATATATATATATATATATATATATATATATATATATATATATATATATATATATATATATATATATATATATATATATATATATATATATATATAACATATGTTTGTGTGTGTGTGTGTGTGTGTGTGTGTGTGTGTGTGTAAAGAAAAAAACAAGACAGAAAAGATTAAAAGAGATGAAAAGAGAGAAAAAAAACATTTCCTTAC